TACTGGCCTGTAGTCGTTTGTCTGGGGCTTTTTAACTGGCAGTAGGGGAGTGTTCCACGCAGACTGGCAGGGAACTAACACCCCCAAGCTCTTCAGTCTCCTGATATGAGGCTGAATTCCCTTCCGTGCCTCCTGAGGCATGGGGTACTGCTTGATTCTTACCGGATCTTCTCCTGGTTTTAGTTCTACCAGGACTGGGGCCCTGTAGGCGGCCAGCCCCACCCCTCCTGTCTCTGCCCATGCTGTTGGGAATTCTTGTAGCCATTTGTCCATACTGCCCTCCACCAGGGAAGTCTTCTGGTAGAGGCGATATTCATCCTCTAGCCTCATGGTCAGGACCTGAATGGGGCGGCCCTCCCCATCGGTGACCTGAGGCCCCCCCTGTCTGAAAGTTATTTGAGCTCCAATTTTGGTCAGTAGGTCCTGTCCCAATAGTGGGTATGGGCATTCCGGTATTACCATGAAAGAGTGGGATACCTGGCCTGTTCCTAAATCTACTGTCCTTCGGGTAGTCCATGAATACTGGCTCATACCAGTTGCTCCTTGCACCCAGGACTTTTTATTCGCCAGTTTTCCTTGCGGGGTACGGAGGACCGAATGTTGTGCCCCGGTGTCAACAAGGAAGTTAACAGGAGTCCCCTCCACTCTGAGAGTTATCCTGGGCTCGGGGAGGGGGTCTGAACCCTGACTCCCCTAATCACTCAGTTCACCCAGCTCTAAGACCTTGACTCGGTCAGTCCTGTCTCCCTTCTCACCGGCCTTCTTCGGACATTCTCGAGCCCAGTGCCCTATGTCCATGCAAAACTTACATTGATCCTTCCGTAGCCCCCGCCTCCCCTCTTGGGTGGTCTGCTTACCTCTTCCTTTATTGCTTACAAGCTGTCGGAGGCGACGGTCTTGCCCTGTGGGGAAGTCCATGGTCGTAGCCAGCAGGACCCTAGCCAGGTCCCGAGCTTGCCTACTGCTAGTGGCAGCCACGACGCGAGCTTGCCTGTCTTCTGGAGACTCTCGGTTATTGTATACCTTCTCTGCCACTGCCAGTAAATCCTGTAAACTCTTCTCTCCCAAGCTATCTACTTTTTGTAGTTTCCTTTTAATATCCGCGGCCGATTGGTTTACAAAGCTTATGATCACAGCTGCCTTGTTTTCAGGAGCTTCTGGATTCATGGGGGTGTAGGTGCGGTAAGCCTCCATGATCCGTTCTAAAAAGGCAGCTGGAGACTCATCCCTTTCCTGCTGAACATTCCCCACCTTGGCCAAATTAGTTGGCTTTCTAGCAGCCATTCTGAGACCCCGCATTAGGGTCTGACGGTAGACCGAAAGCCTCTCCTTACCTTCTGCCGTGTTGAAATCCCATTCAGGCCTAATTAAGGGAAAAGAGACATCTATCTGGACCTGGTTGGCAGTTGGGTTTCCGTCCACGCCTGGAACCATTTTCCGGGCCTCATTGAGGATCCTTTCTCTCTCTTCCGTCGTGAACAGAACCTGTAAAAGCTGCTGACAGTCGTCCCATGTGGGCTGATGGGTGAAAAGAACAGAATCTAGCAAGTCAATAAGTCCCCCTGGTTTCTCAGAAAACTTGGGGTTTTGTGCCTTCCAGTTATAGAGATCGGATGTGGAAAAAGGCCAATAATGATAGGGCTGGTTGCCATCCGCATCCGGGGGTCCAGCGGCCCGTAAGGGCAGGGTCTTGATAGTGGAGTCAGGTGCTGCAGCAGAGAGTTCCCGCTGAGCCCTCTGCCAGGTGAGAGGCGGGCCTCCTACCGAGGCCACTCCCAGAACTCCGCCCCCAGCCACTCCCGGCGTGGAAGGTTCGTCCCCCGGTGGGCTATATGGGGGAGGAAAGATTAGTTCTTCTTCAGTCCCCCCCTGCAGGATAGGGAGGGGAGGGGCTGAAGGCTGGGTGAGAGTCCTCCTCCTCTCCTCCTTTTCCGTTCTCTGCAAAGCAAGAATGGGCTTCGGCCCAGGAGGACGTGGAGGTAGGAAGGGCCTGAGCCAAGATGGCGGGTCTTCCACGAGGTCCTGCCAAGTAACAATGTAAGAAAGCTGACCAGGACGTCCCCCCTTAAGTTGGGAGACGACATCCCTGACTCGGCGGATGGTGGGGAGGTCAAAAGTCCCCTCCGGCGGCCACCCAACGTCCAAAGTTGGCCACTCCCTGGAACAAAAAGTCTGCAATCGGTCTTTCCGAACCTCTGCACTGAGGTCGCTGGCTCTTTCCCTTACCTCTCTGAAATGATCGACCATAATGCTTAAAGGAGTAGTTTGAGTCTGTCCCATAATGTCCGTCCAGTGAGTCCACAAAATAAAACCAAAAAGACACAAACACAAACAACAAACGGGCCCGAAAATACAGCCTTCCAACTCCATGGAAGCAAAACCAAAACAGGCTTCCAACTCCATGGAAGCCAAACCCGAAAGCTAGACAATGGCCTTATACCAGACTAGCTAGCAGGAGCGACCTGCTTTCCGCGAGGGGCATATCCATCCCTCCTGGGGGGGCGGAACGTCTTCCAACTCCCCCCTGCCTGTGGTCTTTATTGGGCGCGTCCACCTAGACCCCTCAGGCAATTACAGATTCCAGAAACGAGCTCACACCGAACAGAACACACAACAAACAACAACACACCTACCGCGCGGTCAGTCAGACTCTTCGGACTGGGGGTCCCTCGATGGTCCTGGGAATCCCGGATGAGCCCCCAAAATGTTGTGCCCAGATTTCAAAGTTCCCAAGACCTTCAGGGAGCCAGTCAGTCCGATGCAAAAGCAAAGAGTCATTTATTTCAAACCTAGGTTTGGCTCCCCTGCCACACTCACCGATGCAACGGTAAGCTCCAGTGGCCGAGAGAGAGAGGCCTGATGGGACAGGGGGTTTTAAAGGGGGGTGGAGTGAGGGCAGGAGAGGGGACTGTGGGCCCCGCCGATTGGCCAGGCGCGAGTCGGTACAGGATGTGGTCATAGTGATGGTGTGCACTTCCCTTGATTATTATTGGTTAGTCCAGAGAAATCCTGGGTGTGGCTAGTAGCGGCTTCTTCCCGTGAGGAAGCACATGGCACCGTCCCAAAATGGAGGACCCAAGGCAAGATGGAGGGCGCACATGGCTCTGTCCCAAGATGGAGGACCCAAGGCAAGATGGAGGGCGCAGTCCTTGCCCGGCTCCTGCCGCTGCCGCTCGAACTCACCACAAGGCAGGACGGCCCCCCGCACAGCACCCGCAGCTGGCCTGCGGGCAGACTGGGACTCCAGCGCGTCTGGGCAGCAGAGGCCCAGCAAACGGGGTGCGGCCGGTGGAGCGGCCCAGCTCTGGAGGCGCGGCATCCGCTCGGAGCAGGCCCGGCCATGGGGCCGGTGCACTGCAGCATGGCGGCCTCCCCGAGCTAGGGCACGCGCCCCACTCCGCCGCCGCCGCCGCCGCACTGGGCCCGGTCCGGGAGGCAGCGGGCGGGTGGCAGCCCACGCCGGGCTCCCACCGTGGGCTGGGGAGCCAATGCCTCCCCCATGGGGCCCAGCGGCTGGCCCACGCAGGCCCGGCCCCCCGACCGGGCCCCAAGGGCCGCATGGACCCCCGGCCCCAGCGCGGGCAAGCGGGGAGCCGACCACGGGGGAAGGGAGGGAAGAGCCAGGCGGTGAGGCCTTCCGCTCCCATGACCTCCCCCGCGGTCGGTCGCCGCCCGGCCCCACCCCTCGGCCCGCCGCCGGCCACCACGCAGCCGGCCCGGACACTCGGACCCGCTCCGGGGAGGCCGGCGGCCGCGGAGGGATCCCAGAGCCCAGCGGCCAGACTCCTCCTCCCGCACCGCCCGGAGAGGCGGGCGGCGCGCCTTTCATTTACTGAGCAGCGTGAACTTTTAGAGTTGGAGCTACCAGCTCCTGATCCCTCTGTCTGCGTGTGGAGGCCTCTGTGGTTCAGAACGGCCTTCACTTTCATGGGTATGGGTGACCTTTTCCTGTCACTGGGTGGCACTGCCAAATCTCTATATTCTAAAACGCTAAGAGACCAGCTGTCTGTTCATCTGGCTGACTGACCGGCCAGTACATATAACATAAATTGCGCACTGGCAATTTAAAAATAAACGTTGACTCGCATATGCTGGTGCATATAAAGCTCTCGCTGGCGCCAATCGCACGCGATGCCAGAATGTATCTGAAGACCAGCTATTGGCACTTTGTTGTTATATCATGTTGTTATTGTTTATTTATTAATCAATTTATATATTATTTTTATATACATTTTACTAATTTTCTTTCATCTCTGACACTTCCATTATAGAGAAAGGGCAAATAGCAATATTAAAATATTTTGTATTTTAATTTTATAATACTATATTATATATACTATTTTGACATGTAATTTTTTTGCAGTAACGTAATTACTGCATGAATCTTTCTTCTAATTAATTTCCTTTCAATGTGCACAAATCCGTGCATGGGCCACTAGATTATAAAAGTGCTTAAAGGAGCACTTTTATGATTAGCTTAGAGATAATGAGCATCTTGTACAAATGGAATATTCTTAAATTCCAAAAGTTAAGAAACTTGAACTTCTAATATTTTCAAAGGGCAATAGAAAAAAAATTTTTTTGGAAATTAACTCAGAAATATTTTAAAGATAAATTCACACTGTGTAGGCAAATAGGACTAGATTAATATTTCTAAACTAATTTATTTAAAAAAAATTTTTTGTGTTAATCCTCACCTGAGGATATTTCTCCATTGATTTTTAGACAGAGTGGAAGGGACAGGGAGAGCCAGACCATCGATGTGAGAGAGACACATGAAGTGGCTGCCTCCTGCACGGACCTCCCACCAGGGTCAGGGAACCTGCGACCAAGGCATGTGCCCTTGACACAGTCTCCTTTATTTTTTTTAATTTTTTAAATATATATATTTTATTGATTTTTTACAGAGAGGAAGAGAGATAGATAGAGAGTTAGAAACATTGATGAGAGAGACACATCGATCAGCTGCCTCCTGCACATCTACTGGGGATGTGCCCACAACCTAGGTACATGCCCTTGACCGGAATCGAACCTGGGACCTTTCAGTCTGCAGGCCGACGCTCTATCCATTGAGCCAAACCAGTCAGGGCAACACAATCTCCTTTAAAACTGATCTAAACAAAATCACTCTGAACATAAGGGTCAGAAGGCCTCTATTTAAGCAAATACTTAGCAAAAAGTGGGGCAAAGCCTCCTCAGCAGAACAAATATTCATTAATATTCATGTTTGGAAATCACAATTTCTAATGGCAGCAGAAAACGCATGTGAAATTTTCTTGACTTGATTTAGTTAATTTGAAAGGACATTGGAAATTCTCCATCCTCTTTTTTCCTTGCCTAGTTTACTTCTAGGGTAGACATTTAAGGATGGAATGCTGAACACCTCCTGAGCTTTATGGTTCTAAAAACAGAATCAGATCTATAATATGGCAGGACAAGGTCATGGGCATCAATCTTGGATAGCTCCACAGCGATTGAAACTCAGCCTGCGCCAGCTTATCAGAAGCCTGTGGATGACCAGTTCTTTAATTTAAAAAACCACACACTCATTTCATGCTGCAAAAGGAGAGACGCCCACACAGCCGTTTGAAAGGGACCATCATGCAGCTCAGCCCCTGTTGGATCCATGCTCAGCAAGCCAACCTTCCCGTGCACATTAGCACTAGGGCACCCAGCCAGCTGCTCGCTGCCCCGGGGCCCCGGCAGCATGGGCAGACCATGCGCAGCCTCCCACAGGGCCCGAGTTCGGATTCAGGGCCAGAAGGAAGAAGCGCCATGGGCCTCCGTGTCTGCAGGGGCCAGAAGAGTTGTGCAGGCAGATTAGCAGGTCTGAGCCACGGCAGCATTTTTATTTCAGATTTGATAACTGCTTGTATGTGTTAAAAACCAAAATGACATCTTGTTAAAGCTTGTCCATAAAAACACATGTCTTTTATAGAGGAAAAACGTGGGGGGGAAATCACCTGTTTTGATGCAGCATTTGATAATGATAAAACGCCTCACTCTTTAAGTGCACAGAGTGAGTGAGGTCTGGGCTAGGCAGGGAAAGGCCAGTGCTGCCTTGTCCTCTTTTGGAACCATCACCAGCTTTCTCCACCTGGCACCTGCAGGAGACACACTGTCACAGTGAACCCAGCTAACGTCTGCCTTGTCTCATTTCAGAGTGAAGATTTGCTTCCACTTTCCTGCAGGCAGCCTCTCTCCTCCCTCACAGTCCCGCTGTGCAGGTGCTATTGTTGCTCTGATCTATATTTCCAGAAATGTTATTTTAAGTGAAATTCCTAGCCTGCACTTTGATGTCAGGTGGTCCCTTTTTCCTTCAACTCCCCACGTGTCCTCCCTGGCCTCTCCTCGCTCCTTATCCCAGGAAGCCTTTTTGGAGACCTCCTTACCCCTGGCTCTTTGAACTTTGTATACTTTAAATAATTTAACTACCTGTAATTACGTTTTAAAAAGCTTGATGATTTTTCATAACTTATTGTTGATTTTAATGGGTTGTTAATTTTAGTCCTGTAGTTTTATTTTGTTTAGATAGGGCTGGGCAAAGAAAAAGAAAATAAAGACAACCATATTTAGCAGTGCAAAAAAAAAAGCACAATATGAAATTCCTTATGAAAACTCAAAGCATCTTAGGAAGGCTCTGGTTAATGCCATTGCTGCCACACCTGTGAAATAGTGGGGCCACATCTAAGTGGGCAGCTCGTTGTGTGGTCAAGACTAATCTTTATTTAAGACTAGAGGCCTGGTGCACGGAATTTATGTACGGGTAGGGTCCCTAGGCCTGGCCAGTGTTCAGGGCTGATCAGGTTCCCCACCTCCTGCCTCCCTGCCTCCTCCTTCCCTCGCTCCCTCAGCACCTGCCTCCACTGCTGGTCACCTGCCATGCTCTGTGCTGACCCTGGCTCAGCGCATGTCATAGTGAGCAAGCGGTCAAACTCCTGGTCTCCTGGTCGAACTCCTGAGGGGACAATTTGCATATTAGCCTTTTATTATATAGGATGATCTTTTATCAGAAGGGAGGAGACTGAAGGAAAGAAATTGTGTTTCAGTGAAAAACTATGTATAGTTCACAGCACATTCTTCTAGATGATCAGATTCTAGTCTTGCTCATTGTCTTTGGACAACTTTGCATCTCTTTGTAAATTGCAGGTAACTGATGAAGATGCAAAATCTACCTTGTCTAGTGGAGATGCAATTGACGGCCCCTGCTGTGGAAGAATTGATTTTGGGACCTGCCTGCACATTGGCTGGATCCTGCCGCCTGCCCAAATGGTCAATCCTTACTAAGTTTTAAATTCTTCCATCTCTGATTTTCCTCCCACCCACCTGACGTGGCCTCACCTACACTGAGGCCAGCCACCCAGGCCCCTAGTGAGTCTTCAGGGTGCTTGGCCCTCTCCCCAGGACCTGAGGAGGCCTGTGGGCTGCAGCCTATGACTTGTCATAAACCAGAGCCTCCCCACTGCAGCAGACACTTCATGAACTGGAGTGCCCTGGCCAGGCCTGGGAAAGGCGCGGGCTGACGTGCCCGCCCCTGAGAGGCAGCCAAGGCTGTCGACAGCAGGACCAAGAGCACGGACGCTAGCTCAGGGCTTCAGGAAACTCACCAAGCAGTGCCCCTGCATAACTGGAAGATTTTCCTCCACCGACTTCTTGGAACCCACTGACTAGATACTTTCAGGGTTTAACTCCCGACTCATAGCTTTTATATTAATATTTCCCTTTTTCATGTAGGCATCCCTCCTTTAAGCTGACTGGCCTCCCGGACCCTGAAACAACTGACATTTGCCACCACCTTCCAAAAGATGAAGCAGCACTAACCAGCGTCCCTGAGACCGCTCTCAGGCTCTGCTTAGTTCCTCAGGGGGACCATGCTAGCTTCTAGTTGTTCAACAACAATTGATATTGTTGGGAACAACCACTTCGAATTGTATTCAAGCCCTGTGCCTCTATGAGAAGTGACAGTGGGAGCGTCCCCTCCGTTTTGTGTTCTGGGAGATGGCTAATTGCACAAGACGCCCTGTGCTGGAAGCCTGGGCCCACCGCCACTGTGCCTCACCACCCCTCATTCCCCTGCCTCCGTAGGGTACCAGGCCTCCTTCCACTTTGGGGCTGCTCCTCACGAATGAGCCTTTCCCCAGTGCAGTCGGCTAAATAAACGCATCTTCTTCATTGTCCACTGCACAATTTTAGCTTATTGTATCTTATGTAATAGAACATTTTCACATACTATTGTGGCAGTTAGGTCTCATTATCACTTAAGACAAATAATTCAGAACTTAAAAAGGAATTGTTTGGCTCAGTGGATAGAGCGTCAGCCTGCGGACTCAAGGGTCCCAGGTTCAATTCCAGTCAAGGGCATGTACGTTGGTTGCGGGCACATCCCCAGCAGGGAGTGTGCAGGAGGCAGCTGGTGGATGTTTCTCTCTCATTGATGTTTCTAACTCTCTATCCCTCTCCTTTCCTCTCTGTAAAAAATCAATAAAATATATTTTTTAAAAAAAGAATTGAGAGATTTAAATAATTTGAAAGTCAAAATTTGTTTCTCACAGCTTTTGAAATTAAATGTGAAAAAAACTGTTAGAACATTGTACAGGGCAAGTTATTGGGCAGCCCTGACTATAGAAGTGCATACAACAGCTGAGACACCAATAAAGCCTGATGGGTTTGACATTGATAGGTGAAAAGGCAGTAAACATCCTATATAATAAAAGGCTAATATGCAAATCAACTGAACAGCAGAACGACTGGTCTCTATCATGTGCACTGACCACCAGGGGCAGGCACTCAAAGCAGGAGCTGCCCCCTGGTGGTCAGTGCACTCCTACGGGGGAGTGCTGCTCAGCCAGAAGCTGGCTCATGGCTCGCAAGCGCAGCAGCGGTGATGGGAGACTCTCCCGCCTCCCGTCAGTCAGACATCCCCAGAGGGCTTCCAATTGCAAGAGGGGCTGGCTGGGCTCAGGGAGCCCCCAAGTGCACGAATTTTGTGCACTGGGCCTCTAGTAAATAAATAAACAAAACCCCAGAGGTGAATCTATTTCTGGAAGTAAAAGGTACGGTAGACTCTTTTCCCAAGAAAACAACCATTTAACTGGAGAAAATTATTTAAAAAAACAATAGAGTCTCTGGAAATTGTCCCAATTCCCAAGCAGGTGAAGAAACATTAAATCAAGAAAATCTACTAAATCTCAATAAGAGATATGTAGCAACTGAGCCACAACTCATTCCTTTCTGCCAGACTCATCGCACAGAAACCCTGTTCCAGGCATTCTGCTGGATGCAGCCAGCATGGAGGCCACCCTCCCAGACTCCACTCATGAGGAGGCAGCTCCCAGCAGCTCTCACTGATAATCCCCTCCCGCCCCCCACCCCCCTTACACCTCAGCTTGCTGATAGGAGAAACCTCCTCAGTCGGAGGGCGATCCAAGAAGACCAGGAGCTAGGGTCACCCCACAGCCCTTTTTGAGAAGTGCTGTTCTGGGATAAGTAGATTGAACCCAAAGCTAGATCCTCTGGATGGTCAGAGACTGTCCCGGGAGAGTCAGGCCATGATGACTAAGAAGCCCGGCTCTGTCTGAAGGGGATTGACCTTATTTGAAACAAAGGGGAAAGTTCCATGTGTAAAGGTGTTTTTGAAAACGATGGTTATTTTGGTTGAGAGAAACTAATAGGGTGCCCAAGTTCCATGGTACTAGAAGCAACAAGCAAAAGGGAGAGCAACCAGGAGTTTAACAGAGACAACCAAGGAAAGAGACAGCCAGAGAGAGGCTCCTGGGATCACAGTCGGCCTCATGCAGGAAGTCTTTGTAGAAGCACTAGGCCGCCCCTCCCCAGGAGCAATCACAGGGGGATGTGGGACAGACTTGGGAACCCTCCCAGCTGCACGAGGACCCCGTAGACAGGGCAGGAACTCCCCTGGCAAAGGACTTAATCACAACCGTTGACCAAACACTAGTGGGACAAGAAGTTTCCCCGAGGCAGGCAACACTGGAAAGCTGGGCTTCCCCATGAAGACACACGCTGCTGGGGTCCGGAGACCGCGGAGACCGGTGCGTGCCCACGGCTGGACCCCTCAGGTGACCAGGAGTGGAAAATCTAAGCCACTGGTCTCTGGCTGAACATAGGCAAAAACAAACAAACAACTCCTCAAACTGTAATAGCAGCATCCAAGTCACAAACACACCCAAGGGAAAGGTTAAAAAACCAAACTGACCAAGGAGGTTTAAGCACAATTTTTGACTACTAAGTGGCTTGTGCTGACTCGGGGGTGATCTCTAGTTAGCCAGACAAACGATTCAAGGAAGGCGAAATCTGAGTAGGGACATCAGAGGCTGCACACTGCAGAGGAAATAGACTTGACAGAGTTAGAGCACAAGCCACTAAACAAATACATGACCAAGCAAATAACATTAACCCTGGGGGATGGAGGAAATTAGTATCCTGAGTTGCTACAGTATACTATCTGAAATGTCCAGATTTCAACAAAAACAATTTGAGACAAAGAGACAGAAGTGTGACCCATGCACAGGTAAAAAGCAGCCAACACAAATTGCTTTGAAGGGGCCCAGATGTTGGAGTTAGTAGACAAATACTTCACAGCAGCCATTATAAATATTGTAGGAGAACTAAAGCAAGCCATACGTAAAGAATTAAGGAAAGATTTGATGACAATGTCTCTTCAAATAGGAAATATAAAGGAGATAGAAATTATAAAATAAAGAACAAAATAAAAATACTGGTGATGAAAAGTACAATAACTTAAATGTAAAATTCCCTGGGACTTTCAACAGTAGATTTGAGTCAACAGAAGAAAGAATCAGTGACCTTTAAGACACACCAATAGAAATGATGCAATCTAAAAATCACACAGAAAGGAAAAAAAGAGTAATAATCAGAGCCTCAGAAAAATGTGAGACATCAAGTGCACCAACATATGCACCAACACACGTTCCCTCAGAAAACATCAAAATCATTGGAAGGAATGGCTAAAAATATCTTATAATGAAAAACAATCTATATATCTAAAAAGAATGAACCTAAAGTAGGATAAATACAGAGATCCACACCCAGACATATCATAGTCACAACATTGAAAGCCAAAGACAAAGACAAAATCTTAAAAGTGGCAAAAGGAAACCATTTTACCTCATAGTATAATGAAAGTTCATTGAAGTTTACTGCTAAAACCTCATATGAAACCATGGAGACCAGGAAGCAGCGGTGACATATTCAAAGTGATTACAGTAAGAAACTGTCAACCAAGAATGCTACATCCAGCAAAACTACCTTTCAAAAAATAAACATTTCAAAATAAAGGGAAGCTGAGAGAATTTATTGCTAGCAAGCCTGACTTATACATCAAGAAATATTAAGAGAAATTCTTCAGATTGAAAGCAAATGATATCAGACAGTAATTCAAATCCACATGAAAAACCACGTTGATAAAGGTAGAAGTTTATAAAAGACAATATAAATGCACATTTCTTCTCCTACTTACTCTTAACTAAGTTTAAAAGATTAACCTAAGATGTAGGTATAATTGTATTTAGACTTTTCAGTTATAGAAACATAATGTGTCGACATTTTTTTCAAAATATTATTTGATAATAACAGCACAAAGGAGTTAGGTGGGAACAAGTTGTTTTTGAGTAAGGTAATATCAGATGGTAACTCAAATTCACAAGAAGAAATAGAAAAATGCTAAATTAAAAGGTTAATATAACATACTTTATGAATATTTAATTGCTCTCCTTTTTCTCACAGATTCCTTAAAAGATATGATTATGTAAAATAATGATTATTACAATGGATTTTTGGGCTTATAATAGATATGGTTGTAATACATATAACAATAATAAACATAAAAAAAGGAAGGAGAAACAAGAGCGGAATACACATTCTTCTCATGGGCAGATGAAACGTCCTCCAGGACGGAGAATGGCCATTAGAACAAACCTCAATACATCTAAGATGATTTGATATCAAACAAAGTAACTTCTTTAACTACCATGGAATGAAATTAAAAATCAAGAATAGATAAACAAATACAGTAAAGTTGCAGGACACAAAATCAATATACAAAAATATGTTATGTTTCTGTCTACTAACAAAATATCAGAAAGAGAAATGAAATAAAATCCCATTTACAATTGCAACAAAAAGAATACAATTCCTAGGAATAAAGTTAACAAAGGAGATGAAGGATATGTACACTGAAAACTATAAGACATTGTTGAAATAAGTTGGAAAGATATCCCATGTTGATGGATTGGAAGAGTTAACACTGTTACTAATATCCATATTACCTAAACCAATCTACAGATTTCAAAGCAATCCTATTAAAATCCTAATGGCCTTTTCACAAAAGTAGAACAACAACAAAAAGATAAATCTTCAAAAGACCCAAATAGCCAAAGCAATCCTAAAAGATTAAAAGAAAAAAAAAAAGAACAAAAGAGTAATCACACTCCCTGAACGCCCTGATTTCAAATTATACTACAAAGCTGTAGTAATCGGAGTGGTACAGGGTTAGCAAAAACAAAACAAAATCAAACAGACACACAGGTCAATGGAACAGGACTGAGAGTCCAGGAATAAACCCACACATATATTGTCAATTAATTTTTTTCTTTTAAAAAATATATTTTATTGATTTTTCACAGAGAGGAAGGGAGAGGAATAGAGAGTTAGAAACATCAATCAGGATGTGCCCGCAACCAAGGTACATGCCCTTGACTGGCATCGAACCTGGGACCCTTTAGTGTGCAGGTCGACACTCTATCCACTGAGCCAAACCAGTTAGGGCAATTGTCAACTAATTTTTGACAAAGGAGTCAAAAAGCATATGATGGAGGAAGTAAAATCTCTTCAACATGATGGTCTTCGGGTTTCTGTGAGAATGCCTGAGCGTTTCCCTTATTTTCATGTGTGAAAAGGAAGAAAGTTTGTAATCAGGTGCCCCAAAGTGGGAGCTTTAGATGATTCTCTCTTTGAGCTTCTAACACTCATCTTCCTTTGGAGGTCCATTGGGCTAAATCGGGTTGATATGATTTTAAAAAGGGATGTAGAGGTTGAGCTATTAATAAAAAAATTGTAACCCAGTTGCAACAGTAACCAGTTAGCTTTAGACATTTCCTAAGCTGTTTCTGGGTTCTTTGAAGAGGAAAGGATGGTCTTTCTCTGAGTCTTTCAGGGAAATTTAGAAGTCCATGTTTAGATACAAGATGGCCCAGGCATTTTACTTGGCACAAACAGAATTGAAGCTTGTCCTTTGAGACTTTATGTCTCTTATGGCTAGCTAATGTAATAGGTAAAGTGAGCCCTTTTGAGAGCCTAATATTATTACAAAGCATAAAAGCAAGTCATCCACATATTGAATTAGAGAGGAATTTCTGGGAAATTCAACATTATTTAAATCAGCCTTGAGTATCTGAGAAAAATATGTGGAATTTTTCTTATATTCCTGTGGCATTTCTGTCCAAATAAACTGAAGATCTTCCCAGGTGAAAGCAAAGACATATTGCCTGTCTTTTTCTGTAGGAGTGTAGAAAAAGGCACTACATATATCTATATAATAAAAGCCCAGTGACCGTATGGCGGAACGACCACAACGACCAGTTGCTATGATGCACACTGACCACCAGGGGGAAGACGCTCAATGCAGGAGCCGCCTCCTGGTGGTCAGTGTGCTCCCACAGCAGGAGCACCACTCAGCCAGAAGCTGGGCTCACAGCTGGTGAGCGCAGCCACGGTGGCGGGAGCCTCTTCCGCCTCTGCAGCAGCGATAAGGAGCGGCAAGCCAAGTGGTAAGGAGCGAGCAGGCGGGCGGTTAGGAGTGAGGGGTCCCAGATTGCAAGAGGGTGCAGGCTGGGCTGAGGGACCCCCACCCTGCACGAATTTCATGCGTTGGGCTTCTAGTCCTATCTAATAAAAGACTAATATGCAAATTGTCCCCACAGGCAGGAGTTCGACCAACCGGGAGTTAGATGTGCGTTGACCACCAGGGGGCAGCGGCGGCAGGCAGCCAGGGGAAGGGAGGCCATGGCCAGCGGCTGGCAGCCACCAGGGACCCTACCTGTGCATGAATTTCGTGCACTGAGCCTCTATCTAGTCTTACAGTGAAAATATTGGCAGTCCGCAGGCATGGCTGAGAGTAGAGTGTGTAGAATTGGAACCACAGGACATCTGGGAATAACTTTTATTTATTGCTGAGATCCTGTATAAATCTCCATCATTCCCATTGAGTTTTTTATTGGAAGGATAGGAAAATTACAGGCGTTCATACATGGAATTATGGCTAATTTTGTACAATGGGCTTAATTCCAGGTAGTGCATCTGATCTTAGAGGATATCGATGAATATTAGGTAGAGGCCAAGGATTGTCAGTTATTTTTATAGGAGTGGCCAACTTCGTATTGGCGATATCTGCACTAAAAGAGCCAGAGTTCCACAGGAACATCGCAGCAAACATCATCCCAAGACCAGTTTACTCCCATGAAGTTCTTTTACAGCCAATATTTTCTCAATTGGCTCAGTGTCTGATTCCTTTAGTTCCAAGTTTTGCCTTTCTGAAAAAAGGGTATATGGGCATCACAGGTTGTAAGAAAGTCTCACCCTATCAAGTGAATTGGGACAGAGTTGACTAGTGAAAAACGTGTTACCTTATAACAGTCCCTCATTGGTAGGGAATAGGTGTTTGTTTGTTTTTAAATATATGTTTTTATTGATTTTAGAGAGCAAGGGAGAGGGAGAGAGAGATAGAAACATCAGTGATGAGAATCATTGATCAGCTGCCTCCTGCACGCCCCACACTGGGGATCAAGCCCACAACCCAGGCTTGTGCCCTTGACCGGAATCGAACCCGGGACCCTTCAGTCTGCAGGCTGATGCTCTATCCATTAGCCAAACCAGCTAGGGTGGGAATAGGTTTTGATTTAAAAACAGACGTTGTTTGATGAGTTATTCCTACCATTTTGGTTCTAGTTGAGAACAGGTACGAGCCCGATAGCGGTGGTCGCCCGTGTGATGCCAGTTTCTCTGAAGAATTGGTAAGAAGAAGGGGTACCACCTCTGTGATCGTCACAGCAGCCCCAGGCTCGCTTCTGTTTCTTTTCTTTTCTGAATCCCTTTTGCGTTCCTACAGTCCTTCAGGGGGCCTGGCTTCCTACAGCAGAGGCACACTCACTCTCCTCCCCCTTGTTGGAGAGGCTGCGGGAAGGACTGACCTGAATGCTTCGTTGCTGGAGCTGTAAGTTCATAATATTAGTAGCTTCCTCTAGTTCTTTCTTTTGGCCAGAATTGATAGTTTACTAGTATGCATGGCCAGCCAGTTATTTTCTGGGGGGCGCCTCAGGGATGCTTGGGAAAGCCAATAGGCTGATTCCTGCATTTTTCCTGGACTGTTTCTCTTTGTTTACAAAATTTTTATAGGACTTTCCCAGAAAACTTAGCCATTCTACTGCTTTGATTTCAGAAACTAATAAGGGTATTACTTGGAATAGGCCATCTATCCAAGATTATATGTTCTAACAGATAAAGGAAAGTTCTTTCAGAGCTCAGCAGAGTCTTGGAGAGGATCAAGGAAATTTTAAATTCCTTAATTTTGTTCTAGTCCAAGGAGAGTAAATAATTGCTGGCTGCCTCTGCCTGACATTGGCTTCCTACAAGGAGCTGCCGAATTCTGGTGTGTGTGTGTGTGTGTGTGTGTGTGTGTGTGTGTGTGTGTGTGTGTGTGTTTCCAGTTTCTCCTGGCCTGACTCTCATCTTTAATTCCCCCTGGGTGAGTGGGGAGTGGTGTGGAGTAGGTGTAGGGTGAGAAGAGAGGGCGGGTAAGTGCTGACAAGGTGGCTCAGAAGGTGAGGGTGTGGGGGTGAAGAAGGGGCGCAGTGGCATCAGCACGGAGCAGCTTTGGAAGCCTTTAGTTCAGAGGTTAACATCCTGGAGAGAAGAAAGTCTACGCCTCCTTTGGAGATTTCTATTGTTCCTTCAAGGAGATCTCCCATTTATTCAGTTTAATTTTAGAGCCAGCCTTTTCCAATTCTGCACACAGGAACATTGATTTAGAAGTATCATTGCAGCCATCTTAAAGTGAGGTATTTTTAAGTTAAATCTTCCCATTTCTGTATATACTTGCAAGTAAAGATTCCATACAAGTGTACATAAAACTTGCAGGAGTACTAATGAGGTTGATCATATTGGGGCTATTCAGCCTTGGAGGCAAATTCCCATTTTAATTTGAGCTTTATTTTGAGATTTGCAGAGTTCGAACAAACTTCTAGGGATAGGATGTGGTGAGTTGAAATGTGATGCTTGTGGGTTAAATTCCAAGGGGCTGTCACCTCCCAAATTGCTGAACCCTCCTACGTGTCTCAGTTTCTCCCCCAAAGCTGCCTAATGCAACTGTGAGGACTCAGAGCCAGATGACCAGCTTGGACATGCATATTCCAGGTGAGCCAATATTAACTAGTGGCCCGGTGCACGGATTTGTGCACATTGAAAGGAAATTAATTAGAAGAAATATTTTAATATCGCTATTCACCTTTTCTCTTTAATAGAAGTGTCAACCAAATTCACAATCGACAATGACAGATGGAAACACACATGTGCGATTGGTGTCAGCGAGAGTTTTATATGTATTGTGCATGCGCGAGTCAACTTAGCCTTTTATAGATATAGAATGAACTTGCTTAATTAGACCTGCTTTCTAATTTAGCTAAACTTTTTCCAGCCCAGTGAAGCACCCCAACTTCTCTTTCAGGTAATTGTCAGCAGCACAGCAGTAAATATCAACACAAAGCAGATTATTATTGTAGATCACGCAGGGAGAACAAAGGGTGAAATATTTAACTGCAGCAGTGTCTGACTATATTCTGTGCAGTGAGAAAACCTGAAGTCATTTTCAAGGTCCAGCATTTCTTACTTCTTTTCAGTCAGGTCAAGTTTCTAAGCTTTCTAAATCTCTGTTTTCCAGTGAATGAAAAGAAAATAGGATTCCACCAAGTCTCCTATCTACCTACTCCAGGACTTCTGTGAGGATCAAATGAGATGAGGCACGGGAAAAAGCTTCACAGACATTTGGTTACAGTGTGAAATGTTTGCACCTGGCTATAAAACAAGTTGTGTTCCTGGGCTGAAGAAGCTGCAAGGAGGCTAGTCACTAGGGAGAGGAAGCCGGCGTTGCTACGTGACTTCATTACCCAGACGGCCAGATATTTAGCATGTTAGCCTTTTATATAGCGACTAGTAGCCCGGTGCACGAAATTCGTGCACTGGGGTAGGGGAGGGGGAATGGGCCCCTCAGTCTGGCCTTCACCCTCTCCAATCTGGGACCCCTCAGGGAATATCCAACTGTCTGTTTGTGCCCACACTTTTAACAGATAACAGCTCCATTGTTGTTTCTTTCTTATGCTTAAAACCATTGGAATTAGTAGGTATTCAAAGTGTGTATACATTTTGGGGGGACACCCTGTATATCTCTAGTCAGTGGTGAAAGAAACCAACAGCAGATTTGGAACCCCCAGACAGGGAACCTCACTCACTCCCCACATGTCTCCCCACTTCACTTTCCACCTTCGTGGGCAGCAGGAGAATCAATGTTTTCTCTCATTAATTCGGAAAAGCATGTCCTGTCACCTGCTGCCTGGCAGGAGTGTGCTAGGCCCTAAGCAAGTGAGGCTCAGTCAGGGCAGCCTTTGCTCATGGGTGCTGGCACCCAAAATGCACATTCCTCCTCTATAGTCGCCCCGACTATCCCACTGTTTCACTGAGAGGACGGAATTCCTCTCCGCCTCTGGGTTCTTGATCTTGAACCCTGACCGAAGGCACCTCAGCGAGGGCTGCCCGCCCGCGCCCACCAGGTGTGTCTGTCTGCACCTGCTCCTGCCTCAGCACCTGCATTAACCCCCCAGAGGTGATCTTGTAGCTACACTGGCCTCTGAGGGAACAGGGCATCACCACTCCGCCCTCTCAGTGTCATCTCACAGGAGCCCACCCTCAGCACCCAGAACACCCAGACACTCTCCAAAGGACGTGAGCGCATCAGAGGGGATGTGTGCACATCCTGTGGGGGTGTTAGGCATGCTGGGTTGATGGAAGTGCGGTGGAGAGGCGGGGGGAACTTGTGCACGCCTTGGTTTGCAGCTGTTGCAGGCGTGGGAGGGTGACAGTGTGCTGGGGGATGTTCGCACACCAGGGGGGGATGTGCACACCGGAGGCCTCTGGCTTTTCAGATCCGCAAACCCCCATGGTGCGGCCAGGAGGACGTCAGTCTGGCCTGCCACGGTGGCTGTCCCTGCGATCCTGCACCTCCTGGGCCAGGAGGCGGATCTTGCACAGCCACTCCTGGGCGCTGATGGCCTGCAGGCACTACTTCAGCTCAGCCTGCAGGCTCCACTTGGCGCACTTACAGCTGTCACCACCACCATGTGGGGAGTACAGGCCGCCCTCGGCAGGCCTGCCTCCCCTGTCCAGAGGCTCTCTGCGCTGCTCACCTGCCCAGAGTGACTGGGGCTGGGCGGAAGCCAGGCATCCTGCCCTGCCCAACCCTGGCCGATCCGCCCCGTGCGAGCTGCCACCCTGCCAGGAAGGGTCACGGATCCGGATCCCGGGACTGCGGACAGCCTCCCGCGGTGCCCCCAGCCCGGCAGGGTCACAGATCCGTGTCTTGGTCCCATGGACAGCCTCAAGCGCTGCCGCATGCCCGGCAGGGTCACAGATCCGGGTCCCGGACCGTGGACAGCCTCAAGCACTGCCCCCCACCTGGCAGGGTCACAGATCCGGGTTCCAGACCGCAGACAGCCTCAAGTCTGTCCCCTGCCCGCCAGGTCACGGATCCGGGTCCCAGACCACGGACAGCCTCAAGCACTGCCCCCCACCCGGCAGGGTCACAGATCCGGTCCTGACTGCGGACAGCCTTACCTGCTGCAGCCCACCTTCAGTATGCAAACTAGCCGCCATCTTGTTGCTTCAGGGTGGGGGTCCCCACTGGGGTGCCTGGCCAGTCTGGGTGAGGGGCTGAGGGCTGTTTTCAGGCTGGTGGACAACTGAAGCTCCCAACCGGTCCTTTTTTTCTTTTTCTTTCTTTTTTTTTCTTTTCATATTTTTATTGATTTTTTATAGAGAGGAAGGGAGAGAGATAGAGAGTCAGAAACATCGATGAGAGAGAAACATCAACCAGCTGCCTTCTGCACACCTCCCACTGGGAATGTGCCCGCAACCAAGGTACATGCCCTTGACCAGAATCAAACCTGGGACCTTTCAGTCCGCAGGCTGACGCTCTATCCACTGAGCCAAACCGGTCCTGGCTCTTTTTCTTTTTTTATTCTGGGATTTAGTTACCGTCTATGGCTGTCACTGGAGCTGAGAGCCGGCTTTAGCTCTGAGGTCCGGCTGCAGCTCTGAGACCTCGGCTGCTGAAAGCAGGTATCTGGGTTTGTTTGGGTTCTATAATTGTAACACTGTTGTGGTCCTGCTCGCTCCAGCTCTGATGGCTGAAAGCAGGTTTCTGGGGTTTATTTAGCTTCTATATTTGCAACATAGTTGCTTAGAGTACAGCTCAGAGGCTGGCAGCAGCAGGCCGGGAACCTTGGCTTCCTCCATCACTGGAGCAAGCAAGCCTCCTGTTCACTTCAGCTGCCTGGCTGCCGGCTGCCATATTGGTTGGCAGTTAATTTGCATATCTCAATGATTAGCCAATGGGAAGGGTGTCGAAGGTACAGTTAATTACCATGTTTGTCTATTATTAGATAGGATGTGCTGGGGATTCCTACCTTCTCAGGTGCCTCCGTGAAGATCTTAGTCGCCCAGGAATAACGAGATTCAGGTGGAGGAGAAAGTGTCCTCTCTCTTCAGAGCGTTCAGTCTCCCATTTAACTTAGCAAATATTTTTTTCAGACCCTCCGTAAGCGATTCCAATTGAAAAGCTGAAATTAAAAGCAGCCGCCCATTTCTCCCTTCTCCTTTATTGCCACCTCCAGGGTTTTCTAATGACAGCTCATCTAAAGTCAGGACCCACCACTTTCAGCAGGGAGGCCCAGGGGCCCAGAGAAACTCACCTGGCTCACCTGATGTGAGGGGCCATGGGCACAGGGGTCCTTGCTGGTACCCAGTGCCAGGTCCAGATCCACAGGGTGGTCTCAGGGGTGTCTTTGTAATCCTGGTGGCTATGCAAGTAAATGTCCGTGAAAGAACATCTACACCTATACAACAATTTTATACATTTATGTGAGCCAAATTTTGAGGACTGACCCAGAGCAAGCTCTCAAAGGACTGAGAAAGTGCTCCACAGAATGGCAGTTTGGCAGTTTACTTTCTACATTGGAATCAAAGGAGAAAGCATAAGCCACGAGATCGCTGGGGTAGGCCGAGGAGCAGGAGAAAGCACAGGGTAAACGGGAAATGGAGGCACATGCCTGTTCACACCGTGGGCCCAGCACAGTTAACATGCAGCATTAACATTCACTAGAGCTGCTCCTGGGGGAAGGCAGCGAGGAGGGGCTCTGTGGTCTGCTCCCCGGTCTGCCCGGTGCTGCCGTGGGCCTCCGTGGGGTCTGGAAAAGAGAATTACTCTGACATTAAAAAATATATCATTCTAGCCCTAACCGGTTTGGCTCAGTGGAGAGAGCGTTGGCCTGCGGACTGAAAGGTCCCAGGTTTGATTCCGGTCAAGGGCTTATACCTTGGTTGCGGGCACATCCCCAGTAGGAGGTGTGCAGGAGGCAGCTGGTCAATGTTTCTCTCTCATCAATGTTTCTAACTCTCTATCCCTCTCCCTTCCTCTCTGTAAAAAAATCAATAAAATATATTAAAAAATATATATCACTCTAGATGCACAGGAAACATGGACAGGGCTCACTTCAGGTGACTACTGACCTTTGCTAAGAAAGCAAAAGGCCTGAGACTGGCCCCCACGCTGATGGCCATCAGAGTGCAGGGTCAGAGCCTCCTGGGGTGCCCTCACCTACCCCAAAGTTTTCAGGGCTGCCTCAGAGCCCTCTTCCACGCACAGGGAAGTTGTTCTACATATTGTTCTATATAACATAGACACGGTGTGGGCTACACATGCTGTTACCACTAGATATCAAAAATAAGAAGATGAAAAAGAAACTTATATATAGTTATTCGTATTGTGACCAATCCTATATAATAAAAGCCTAATATGCTAAGTGTCCAGTCGACTGGTCAGCCATTCAACCAATCAAAGCTTAATATGCTAACAATATGCTAAAGCTACCTACCTGTTCGCTATGGCGTGCACTGACCATCAGGGGGCAGACACTCCAACTGGTAGGTTAGCTTGCTGCTGGGGTCCGGCCGATGGGGACTGAGCCCTGGAACTCTCCCGTGGTCCTTCCCCACCCCAATTATGCACCAGTGGGGTTCCTTGGCCTGGCCTGCACCCTTTCGCAATCTGGGACCCCTTGGGTGATGTCAGAGAGCTGGTTTTGGCCTGATCCCGCAGGCCAGGCCGAGAGACCCCACTGGTGCATGAATTTGTGTGCCGGGCCTCTAGTGCATTCGTAATGGAGCAGGAGCGAGCTGCTTGCTTTAGCAGCCTCCGTAGCTGGCAGTGCCATGTTGCCCAGCCTAGACGCGGGTAAAGGAGTCATTGTACACAGCATAGAAAACACCTCACATCTAACAAAGCCAGGCACGGGGGGGTGGGCTGGCACACAGCTCCTCCAGCAGAGACGGTGTACTGTATGGTCATGTGATTCTCTGGAAGCAAAGTTATGAAACAGGAAGAAGAACACATTTTTAATTTTGTATTAAATGTCACTCACCTCCTGCTTGTGGAAGGGAGCAGGCTCTGCACTTCGGCACAGGCGCTCATACGATGGCCTACGAGGTAAATCCTGGGCAGCGGGGCGATGGCACAGAAGTGCCCCGCAGGCTTCTCACCGCCGCTAGGTAGGCTCTCCCCACTGCACCACACACCCTGCGGGCGAGTTAGCCAGCTCACTGTTCCCGTGTGACAGTGGGTTGCGATAAAGGTCTTTGCCCTCAGCTTTGCACTGAGCAGGCT